GAGGGCCCTTCTCTGGGGCTGCAGGTGGGAGAGCCCTTTCTCTGAGCTGTGGCACTGTCCCATTCAGTACAAAGGGGTCTCACATACTTCTCCCTCACGCTTGGGGCTTCATCACTGCGTCCTCCTTAGGTCAGAGATTCTAGGGGCTCTGCCTGCTCCCATGCTCTGTCTCTCTCTCAGGCTCCTTGCTCTCCAAAGCCTCTGTGCCTGTGCCAGTTGGTGGAGCCCTTTTCACTGAGGCTTTTGCAGTACTTCCTTCACGGAAAGGAGAGGACAGAAGATAAAACTCTAGGTGCTGCCCAGAGCTGGCCATTGCCTGGATGCGAGACCTTTAGCCCCCCACGCCACCCCATGGTCCCTAAGCTGGGCTCCCTGCCCTCCCAAGATTCTGGACGTTTTGTTCCCAGCACATGGCTCAGTCACACTGTCCCCACCTTGACCCTGTGTCTGAGTGTGGGCAAGGGGTGCCTTTCTCACAGGGCGGGTTCCTGGAGCCCCGCTGCCTCCCGCTCCGTCCTACATGGCTGGATGCTCACCAGTGTTTTGGGTTCTCTTGCCTCTTCAGCAGCACCTTACCCCGAGGCTGTTCCACGAGGTAGTGCAGGCATTCCGAGCAGCCGTGGCCACCGCCCAAGGGGACCAGGAAGGTGCTGAGGCCAGCAAGTTCCAGGTCACAGACAGTGCTGGTGAGCTGGGGTAGGGGGACCTGCGGTGAGGCTCTCCGTTCCATCTTCTGTCTGGTGAGTGGCATCTGTGGTCCCCTCGTTGCAGTGTTCAATGCTCTGGTCTCCTTCTGCGTCAGAGACCTTTTCGGCTGCCTCCAGAAGCTGCTATTTGGAAAAGCCTTGAAGGATAGCAGGTGAGAGGGAGGAGGGTGGGGTGGGGGTGTGTTCAGGACCCTGCGTTGGGGACGCAGAGGCCCCTCGAGTCCCGGCTGGTACTCAGGGATGTGAGGACAACACAGGCTCTTTGCAACTTCTTGGGAGGGTCTGGGCACTCAGGGCCAGTTGGAGGCCTGGTCCTTTTCTTTTTCTCTTTTCTTTCTGAGAAGGGAAATTCTCTGCGCAGAATTTCTCAAGGGCTGCAGACTGTGTGCTTGGCTTTGCTCCCCCATTGTCCCTGGTCAGGATTCTCTTGCTTCGTCTTTGGATGAATAAGTCTTGTCCAGTCTCCTTGCCTTTTTCTCTGTGGCTGGTGGGTGTGTCTGGAGGTGGGGGCCTCATTGGTGCTGATTTTGAGAACCTTAACTTCCGTGTTAGAGGAACGCTGAGCAGAGAAGGCTGGGTGGGGTCTTCAGAGGGGAGAGGAGAGCAGCAGCTAATTGGTAGAACACGGGTTACATTGGGGCTGGGCGGGCCATGCAGCTACATGGAGGCAGTAGGGGCCTTGGAGTGTCAGATTCACCCTAGACACTTTTCAAAAGAAGAAAGAAGCCTGCCGGCACCAGGCTGGGGGAGGCAGCAGACCTGGGCCTGGCACCAGCAGTCAGGGCCGGACTGATGGTTAGGCGGCTTCGGCCATGTGGAGGCAGCCGTCCGGTCAGGACTGGCAGTGAGTGACTAGGCAGCAGGCACCGTGTTGGCGGTGCTGACTTGGCTGGGCCTGCGAGGGGCCGCTGCACTGTGCAGAGCAGTCGCCGTGAAGGGCGGGGCTTTGAGGGAAGTGGCAGGAGCTGCCGCCTGGGTCAGGGCGAGCTGGCTGCAGGTGCCCCTGCCCTTTGTCCCGTTGCATCCCAGCAGGTTTTATGAGCACCTGCTGTGTGCTGAGTTCTGTGAATGCTTTGGGGTCTTGCCTTTAAGACACTTCTGAGAAAGTTAGCCCCTGTTGCCAGCTGTTTCCATTTTTCAAAAGAGGTCAGAGTCTGGAGTCTTTGGTGAAATTAAATTGTAAATGTGGAGACTTTTTTTTTTTTTAAATTTTATTGGGAAACAGTGTGTTTTTCCAGGACCCATCATCTCCAAGTCAAGTAGTTGTTTCAGTCTAGTTGTAGGGGGGTGCACCTCGGTGGCCCATGTGGGGATTGAACCAGCAACCTTGGTGTTATGAGCACTGTGCCCTGCATTCTAACCACCTGGCTGTCCCCGAGACTTGTTTTTTTTTAAAACACGTGTGGGCCAAAGAAAACCAAGTTGCAGTGGTGGTTAACAATGCCTGGCTTAGGTCTCAGGGGCCATCAAATGCCTTCTCAGGGTGTGGGTACCCTCTGGAGACTCTGGGGGAAGTGGCTGGCCCTGGGCTCAGACATGGAGTACAGTTGCTCTTGGCCATCTGGCCTGGGGCTGCTCCTTCTCACTCTTGAGAGGGTCCTAGTGCGCCCCCGTGTCAGCCAGCAGTAAGGGGCCCCTGAGGTTTTCGTAGAGAGATGGGGGTCTCCCAGGGCCTATGTACCTTGTGTCCTGGAGACTGCACAGACGGAACGGCCTTGTGCGTAGTTGGGGGTCTCAGGCAGGCGGGCGCTCTGTCCTCTGCAGGGTACAGCAGCCGTCCAGCAGCCCGCTGTGGGGGAAGCTCCGGCTGGATATGAAGGCTTACCTGAGCTCCGTCATACAGGTGCAGTGCCGGAGGGAGGGTGTGCTGGGTCCCATGGCTGTGTGCTGTGGTCCAGTCCTTTGTATCCTGCTGTGAGTGGGTCTGGGGCCTCACTGACCTCTCCTGCTCCCCCAGCTGGTGGCCTGTGTGACAGAGACGACAGTTGCGGCAGCCCTCCTCCAGCACGTGGGCAACTCTGTGCCCTACTTCCTGACCTTCCCTAGGCAGTGCCGCATGCTGCTCAAGGTGAGTGTGATGGGGTGCAAACATGCCTCACTTCTAGCCTCTGCGCCCACGCCACCCCCCCGCCCTTAGGCAGCACAGCCTGGTCACGTGGGGACGGGCTCCAGGCTGGGGCTGCCTTGCAGCAGTGCCCATAGGAGCCTCTGGCCGGACAGGCAGTGACGTCCCGCTCTCTGCAGAGGATGGTGGCCTTGTGGAGCACGGGCGAGGAGACACTGCGGGTGTTGGCCTTTCTGGTCCTCACCAGAGTTTGCCGGCAAAAGAAGGACGCCTTCCTGAGCCCTGTCCTCAAGGTACTGAGGCTGCGCAGTTCCTGCCTGTGGAGCCGCGGTCTGTCCATCAGCGTTGGGTTGGAAGCCTTGCCCGGAGGTCTGGGCAGGCTGCTTTTCTGGTCAGTGGCCCTCACCTGCACTGGCTCCAGGCAGACCCAGTCCCTGGTCACTGTTTCTTCCCTGAGATACGGGGGACGGTGACAATGACGAGAGCTGTTGGTTCCCCTGGGGCTGTGCGTGGACTGCACTCCTAGCCTGCCCTCAGTGGATGAGGACATCGGTGTGAAGAGGGACAGGGACTCTGCTGCCTGGCTCCAAGCCTGGGGTGGCCTGCCCTGCATGGGGACCCTCTGGAACCTCCCCCGCACGGACCTGTGTGCAGCAGGGCCTCTCTGCCTCCCTCCAGCCCGTGTGGTGTCCTTGCTGCTTCCTGCAGTTCACCCCGGAGTCACCCCTCCCTTGATAGCAGGCCCTCCCTGTAAGGCCCCTCCCCTCTGCATGCAGACCTTGCCAGAGGTTGGTGGGCACACACGGGGAGCGGGGCGGTGCACAGCGAGGGGCCTGCAGAGGCAGCAGCTCTGGCCAAAGGCCCAGGTGTCTGCTGGAGGGTCCACGGGCCCTGGAGCTCAGGTGGCTCTGACTGGTCTTCCCGGCAGCAAATGTACATCACGTACGTGAAGAACTGCAAGTTCACGTCTCCTAGCGCCCTGCCCCTCATCAGCTTCATGCAGCGGACCCTGACCGAGCTGCTGGTCCTGGACACGGGGGTCACTTACCAGCACGCCTTCCTGTACATCCGACAGCTCGCTGTGCATCTGCGAAACGCCATGACCACCCGCAGGAAGGTGAAAGGCAGGGGTGGGGGGGG